CCCCCCCCCTCTTGATGCTTGCATGTATTGTGTGTGCATTGATGGATAGTTCAGACTAACGAAAACTCTTACCAAATACTAATTTTGTTTTGGGAACTTTTAAGAAAGAGTTAACATACGACTCGAGTCCTTGATAAAGGCAGTGCTATCAAGCATTCGTACCTGCTATACGTCCTTATCCTCCATTCATGCTTCACTTTTGCAAAAGCCTTGAGAAGATGATGAGGGATTTCCCATATGACATAAATTGTGACTATTAATTTTTTTTATATGGAGAAATTCTGGAGTCCTATACAAAATGGTCGTGTATTCGGTGATTGGGGATATTTATTTATACACTGTTGGGGAAGTGGCTACGGTGATATGCTAATGAGGAAAGAGCGGTGTGGAGAAAGGTGATTACTGTGTAAGTACGGTAACAACCAATTTGGTTGGTTCTCAAAGGATGTGACCACTTACTATAGTTGAGCCTGTGGAGAGGCTTAATGAAGGAGAAATGAGACTTCTGAAAGTTTACTGGCTATTCGTTGGGAACGGAAACAGAGTATGGTTTTTGGCTTGATATATGGTGCAGTGACAACATACTGAGACAACTTTCCAAGATCGTTTGCCTCTGGAAGTGATGGCTGAAACGATATAAAAATAACAAACAAACAAAAGAAAGCAACAAAGAGATATAAGTTAGACACATATTGAAATTCAAATAAGCAATGCTTGGAAATAAACCCAAAATTACCTCCTAATGGAATCCAATAAGAACCACAGCTATCAGACACCCTCAAGTGGAATGGGATTCACAAGCAATATTCCAGGAAAGTTTTAATCACAATAATCGATATCACACCTTTAATCTTCACAGTGGAATTCATACAAAATAACCAAGCTACTGATAATGGATAAGAACCAGCTGCTTAAAGTAAGCTNATTTCTGTGGAGGTGCTGCGATTGTAGCTCTTCTTCAGAAGCTATTCAAGGATTGGAAATATGCTGTTATGCTGTGATTGCAGCTTGGCCTCCTACACTTGCAGCCCTTATTGAGTTTCTGTCCAGGACCTGATGTAGTTGGATTGCGATCACAGCTCTTTTTTCCCCAAGCTGCCAAAAGCTGATCTTTTCTCATCTTTAAAGGCCTTCATTCCTCTAGGGACCCGACCATTCAGCTAGGAAACCACTGGAAGTGGATTGTTGATCCTTGGTTGCTACGATTCCCTCCCATTTGAAAAGAATTAGTCCTTGAATTCGAATCTAGCAACAGGAGGAAGATTCCTGAATTAGTAAATATTCCCCCAAGGTTAAGAATGCACCAAGTAAAATTGACACAAGATAATGACCATGCATCCTTTTAACCCAATCGTTCTAGATGGAGTAGACACTCCTCTAAGCAACATGTGCACATCACATCACATCACAAGGAATGTCATAATCTCCAATATATCTGCAAAATGCATGCCTGAAAACATGTTACTAAATAAACCTTGCAAAATGCTGATAATTGTAGGGGGATCTTTCTGCTGTAGTATGGAAGTTCTGGAATTAGCTTATCCTTTCAGTGCATTGATGATCTAATTTAGGATGCTTTCTCCCTTTTTAAAAATTCTTTTTCCCTTTCACTAGCTTTCTTAGCATGTCGTGTCTGTACTTATGCTTGTGTTTGTTTCTTAATGATAATCTTCTACTTTGTATCAGTGGTTGTTGGATTCATACAACACTCAAATACTTATCATGGTGTTTCTGGCTATAGTGTCTATGTTACTTGCCGGTTTCCTTGCATACCACACCAAACTGTGTGTCACAAATACTACAACGAATGAGGTATTCCTTTTTTGTATTTAATTCAGTACAGTACATATCTCCAGTAGCTTAGGATGATTTTTTGGTTTTGCTGTGCAGTCTGACTTTTCTTCTCCTTCATAGTACCTGCATTTTCTTTAGAAGTAAGCTTTTGGAACTATATGTGTCTACTAACAATGAACTTCTTGTCTTATTACTCAATTTTCTTTTTTTGATAACTGAGAAATCCACGAGAGCCAGTGGGGCACAGTTCGAAACTCGGTGCCACTTAAATACCAGGTTTTTGTCTTTAGCAGGGTTCGAACCCATGACGTGTATCTAACCCACACATCACAAGTTACGTTCTTACCACTAGCCCGAATCCTTGGGGGCGTTGTAATATTATTACTATTACATGGACATTTTCACCTAGAAGGAAATATGGCTTCTGATCTATCACTGAACAAAGTTCAGGCCAGTTGGAGACCTTGAAATCTCAAAATATTTCGGCAAACAAGAAATAAGAAGTCTGCTCTTATAAGGGGGATCAAGTAAGTAAACACAATTTTGACTGACCAACCTAAAAATAACAAGTTTAAGGACCAGAGGAGCACTATCTCTTGGTCTGATAGCAATCTCTCCTTTGTCTTAATTTTGACTAGGCATGAGAAAAAGAAAAGTAAAGAGAAGAAAGGAGGAAGAAGGGGAAACATAAAAAGAAAAAAAGCATTGGGACATTCTAAATCCTGATGATATCCCCTATTGATTCAGCATACCTCCAAAATTTTAGGAGTCGAAACAGCGGCAGAAGCTGTTCTTAGCTCTCATAAAGCTAAATTTTGCTCGTGTGGACTGCAGACTTTCAAATGGCAAGAATATTTAAACTGGAAGAGGAAAGTCAATGAAGCAAAGGCAAGTGCAGCAGCTCTCAAAGCAAGTTTAGGTGAATTGAACCAGGAAATGACGCGCCCTGTGAGCAAATGGAAGGCCTTCTTTCGGAGGTCCCATCTGGAAGAAGTGGAGGTGGTTAAGAATAACATTTACGATAAAGGACTACTCCAGAATGTCTCTGAGATTGTAATTCCTCTTTCAACAAGACGTTCATTCATACAGAGGAAATCAAAATCAGGTTAGAATTGTCAGTTGGTGACCCATATTCCATTGGGGCTTGATAGCTCATCTTGGTCCAAGTCTTTAGTCTAATGGTCATAAACACCAAGGAGAATGCTCTAAATGTGAAGTACGCTCGATTCTATCAGAACCTATTATAAGTATCGACAAGTCATCTACCTTTACTCTTGGATGGGCACGGTTAATGCAGTTTAATTGCCCGTGGTGAAAGGATTGGACGGGTTCTGAGAAGGGGTTTAAGTGCCAGTAGTGGTGTTTGCTTCCTTTTATTTGCTGCGGCTGCAGCTGTTGAAGGGAAGGGCTTACTGTTCTTTTTGGTGCATTCTGATTCCTACTGGTGTAGCCTGGGTTTCTTCTCATTTCTAGGATAAATTTCAATCCTACTTTATTTAACTTTTTATAGCTCTTCGCTGCTTAGCAGCAAATTTTTACTTGTACTATGTAATACGACGAGAATGAGTACCTGGTATATGTTGCAATCCAATGTCTCATGTTTCCACCAGCTGTGGAACTGGAACTCTGTAGAATTCAAATAAATTTTGTGCTAATGTAGCGGAAAAAGAGAGAATGTTACCCAGCAGCTTAATATTTCTTTTAGTTATAATGTAAATTTCATTGATGCCTGGAGAAACTCTTGTATGCAAAAAGCAGGGAACTTACATTAAAATGTGGTTCTCTAAAAAAAGGCTCCCAATCTTCTATCCAAACTGAAACAGGGACTGCATGGATGTACCCCCAAAAAAAAAAAGGAAAAACGAAACTGGAAAAGAGGATATTCTTCTACTTACACATCACCGTTTCAAACATTCGCGTATTTCTCTCCTCTTATATATAATCCACATGGGGGCTAGAAAAGTAACATCCCATGTTTTAGGTCTTCTCTTCCTCTTAATAAAGGCCCAACAACGAAACGCCTGTTATAAATATATAATATTATGGATGTTCATTTAGTACTCCGTTGTAAATAAGTTTCTTAAAGAAGCTTATCCATACGGGACTCCGCCGTAAATATGTTTTATCTATTTAGTACTCTATTGGAAATAAGCTTCCTGAAGAAACTTATCACTTCGGTACCCGGTTATGGATAAATATTACCCCCGGTAGAAGATTATTCATACCTGGTACAATGAGCTTATCCTTTCAGTACTCCGTTATGGATAAACATTACTCTCATTAGAAGATTATCCATATCTGGTACAGTAGCAGCTTACACAACAACTTTCAGTAGCAGCTTACAAAGCAGCTTCCTTTCTTCTATAAATAGAAGAGATTTCAGTTCATTATGTACATCATTTTGAATTCGAATAATATATCAGTTTCTCTCTATACTTGTCTTTACGTTACAGTCTTTATTTTATAACACGTTATTAGCACGAGACTCTGCCATCTCGAGCAAATACTTTGAAAGTATCTGAGGTACGAACTTTCTTTTTCTATATAATGTCAAATCTTTCTAAACTTGAATTTGTAGCCCTAGATATATCGGACAAAAGCTACATGTCTTGGGCGCTTGATGCTGAAATTATCTTAATGCGATGGGTCTGGCAGACACCATCAAGGATAAAATCAGGCATCAAACCAAGACCGTGCTAAAGCAATGATATTCCTACGTCATCACCTTGATGAGGGCCTGAAAATGGAATATCTCACTATTAAAGATCCAGTCATACTGTGGAATAATTTGAAAGATAGATATGACCACCTGAAGATGGTCGTTCTTCCACAGGCACGTTATGATTGGACTCATCTAAGGCTACAAGATTTTAAATCTATCAGTGAGTATAATTCTGCTATGTTCAGAATTATTTCCCAATTGAAATTATGTGGTGATAATATTACTGATCATGATATGTTGGAGAAAACTTTCACCACTTTTCATACCTCGATTATGCTCCTGCAACAGCAATATCGAGAGATGGGATTTAAAAGGTATTCTGAACTTATCTCACATCTTCTTATAGCCGAGCAACATAATGGGCTATTAATGAAAAACCATGAAAGCCGACCTACTGATTCTTGTCCATTCCTTGAAGTGAATGCGACGAACTTCCACCAAGCTAGACGTGGAAGAGGTCGTGACCTCAGTCGTGGTCATGGCCGTGGTCAGAGAAGAAATTTTAATCATGGTAATAATAATGCACCAAAGAACCCTCCTCACCACCAACAGTGGAAAAGGAATGAACAAAAGCATGAAGCGGTGCAAGCACCAAATGCAGAAAATGCATGTTATAGATGTGGAGGAAAAAGGGCACCGGTCACGTACCTGTCGTACGCCGAAACACCTGGTTGAGCTTTATCAAGCCGCCCTGAAGAAGACAGAGAAAAATGCTGAAATAAATTTTATTTTTGAAGATAATTTAGACTTCATGCATTTGGATGTAGCTAATTACCTTGCACTCCCAAAAGGAGAAACAAGTCATGTAATTGGTGGTGAATCTGTAGAAATGTAAATATTTTAATTTTTGTTGTTTGTAATAGATAGTATGGTTATGTAATTGTTGTACATAAAGAAAAATTATGATTTGATAAAGATGTTTACTATAATATATCTTATTTATGTCATTTTGAAGAATATAAATAACATTATTAGATCAATTTAAACTCTAGCAGAGTTTGCAAGAAATATACAACCACCAGAAGTGGTTATATTTCGTATATCTCATTGTAACTGTATTTTATTAACCACCAGAAGTGGTATATGCCTATGATCACCAGAAGTGATAATTTAGGCTTTCTATGATTACAATTGAAGATAAGCTACATAAATATTCTCTATATTAAATGCATGCTTCGATTTGCTCCTAAAGTAGTAAATATTTTAAAAGAGGTTGAGGCATCACAATTTGATGTGATTAATGCGCATTCAGATAATTATGTTCGATTTCCTGAAGGATGAGAAATTTTGATAATATTAATCCATTCCCTGAAGTGAATGTGACAATATTAATATGGTAAATATGAACGCGCTCTTGATGTGAATATATTACAATTCACCTCCAGAAGAGGTAATATAATTGAGAGAATATATACTCAATATTTCGTATTTTAAATTTGCTCCTGAAGAAGTAACAAAATTGAAATTGCCTCATGAAGTAGGAAAATATTATGAAAAAGAGTTTTCTTGTGCTTAAACAAATGTTTAACATTGTTTATTTGATTGTGATTTTCTCTCATGATACCAGAAGTGTATGAGCAATATTTGATAGTACAAAATATATCAATAACTCCTGAAGAACTAACTGTTTGCCTAGAAGACACATGACACCATTCGTGTCCGATAAATATTAGATTGTGGATAATAAATGAAGGCTCTCAAAGATCTTATATACAAATATGTCATTCATATTATATGATTATGGTCAAAACATATGTTGTATTAAACCTGGAGTTTACTAATACAAATGACTATCATATTGAGACTACAAATGACTGAAAGATTGAAAATCTTCATGTTTCCACAATCATAGGGGTAAAATAATATGTATGTGAGAAGTTACCCGTCTTATTCTTCAATTTTTATTATATCGTGTATCACAGTAAATCAGAAGTTTACTAATGCAAAAGCAGTCACGGTAAATCAAAAGTTTACTAATGCAAAAGTTTATGTCATAGTAAACTAGAAGTTTACTAAGAGATAACACATGTCATGATAAACTTGAAGTTTTCATTTGCCATTTTTGAATGAGCTATTTAAGAATTCAGATAAGCATATATTGAAGAACTAGAAAATTCTTCAAGAATTCTCCTGTGTTGCTTGTTCTCATAATAAATTGATTATACCAACTAAAGTTGGGACTAAGACCCCTGATTCTAAAATATATAAAAGGTGAATATGGGCCCATTCACCTATCATGTGAACCACTTATAGATGCATATATAAGATGGTTACATTTATGTTTATTGTTAACCTGCAGTTTGGCATTTGAGATTGCTTTTCTCAATTAAGAGCATAACTTTCAGATTATGAAATCAAGACAGTTCATCTTGATAATGCTGGTCTATATCCAAGCTGGTTTAGCATTGAATACCTCCTACTAATGGCTAAACTATTGCTTATGAGAATAAAGCTTCATGTGTTGGTCTAAGATATTCTAAATTGCATACAACAACACTTGTATGCATCAGACCAACAATATATGATAAAGTCCTCCCCTCACAATTGGTTTAGGATCAGAAATTAAATATTTTTACTATCTTTTGATGTGTGGTATATGATTAATTTCTCTACCACAATACACAAAGATATGTTTCCCAAAGAAGATTGGGGATATATGTTAATTTTTCTAACATTTGGGGGATGGAATAAACAGCAGAAAGATATGCTATATGAATCGAATTATCATTAATATGATCCTCACTTAGAAGATAATTCAAGTCAAATGCCAGAAGCATTTGCTGATCCAAAATTTAATATCATATTTCAGCTACAAATGCTCCTATTAGAATTAAAGTCCCTAAATGATAGAGTTTACTGTACGCATGAAGCGTGGTAGACCAATTGGTTTCAAAGATAACAATCCTTGAAAAATGATAGGAGCTAATGATCAAAATGATCATAATGAGAAGGAAATAAGCTCTAAAAGAGTCCACGACATAACATTTCATGAAACTCCCAAAGAAGTTTAGGTACCTGAAAATAAAGAAAGTGATGAGATCTCAACGAGTTATGTCACTTAGGAACTGACACAAAATGATCGTCAACGATATATTTGATACAATATAGTGCACAATATTGTAAAAGATTGTGAGGATCGGACCAGTAGTCCAGACACTTGAAGATGTCATATCATTTAGATACAAGTCTTAACATATATGACTTATTTGATTAAATCTATATGAAGATCCTTGAAGGATTGAAAATGCCTGAAGCATATAATTCAAATTTTGAGAAATGTACTCGATCAAATTATAAAGATCTTTGTACGGCTTAAAGTAATCAGTGCACGTGTGGTATAATCGCCTCAATAAATATTTGCTGAAAGAAGATTATATAAATGATGCTATTTGTCTATGTATTTTTATATAGAAAATGTCATCAGAATTTGTTATACTTGCTATTTATGTTGATGACATAAAATTTGTTGGAACTCCAAAAGAGCTCCAAAAGGCAATTGAATATCTTAAGAAAGAATTTGATATGAAAGATCTTGGAAAAATAAAAATTTGTCTTTGGTCTGCAAATTGAATATTTAGCAGACGAGATCTTTATCCATCAATTTGCCTATACAGAAAGGGTCTTTAAATGTTTTTTCATGGACAAAGCGCACCCATTAAGTACATCAATGGGTGTTTGATCACTTGAAGTGAATAAGGATCCGTTCCAACCTCCTGAAGAGGATGATGAACTCCTTGGTCCTGAAATACTCTATCTCAATGTAATTGTTATGCATTTATAGGTGGTGCAGATCGTATTGGTTATGCAGATACAAGATTAGAATGCGGAGACTCAAATATTTGAAACAAGGTTTTCACCAGGGGGAGTAAAATACGCTATGCACTCTTTTTTCCTTACTAAGATTTTTTCCCACAGAGTTTTCCTTATAAGGTTTTTAATGAGGCTCCTAGCAATGCGTATTACTA